CGCCGCCCCACGCGGAGAGCGTTCGGCCACCAGAGAGCCTGAGAAGGCGGCCCCTGCCGACAAGCTCTCAGGTGCGTGCCTGCGAGGGAGCGGGCAGTGCCACAGCGCGCCAGGCATTGAGCCAAAATGACTCGATGCAAAATTGCTTGAGCCAAAATGGCTACGGAGGCCCTCCTTGGCTCGTCTTGGGGCTCTCCTGGGCCGTCTTGAGGCGCTCGTGGACTGCTTGGGTGCCCTTGGGGACGTTTTGGGGCGACTTCGGAGGCCCCCAGGGCCGTGTTTGGCCGCTTTTGATCCGAAAATGCGAGAACCCCCAAATCCTCAAAAAATCTTAGGGAACTAAATGGTTGTTGCATCCCGCGTCCCTCTTGAAGTCCTCGTGGGAGCCTCTTGGGCCGTCTGGGAGGCTTCTTGGACCGTCTTGGGGCCATCTTCGCCCCTTTTGGAGCGCTCTTGGGCTGTCTTGGGGCCTCTTGGGCGTCTCTTGGGCCGTCTTGGCGGTATCTCAAGCCGTCTTGGGGGCCTCGTCGCTCGTGCTTTGGCCTCTTGGCTCTGCTCCCCGCAGAGACCGAGAGCGTCTCCTGTGGGGCGACCAGAACGGCAAACCCAAGAGACTAGCACCGAGAATACTTCCGCCTCCGAAAACGCAAGCCGGCCCGCCAGGAACCGCTTGCCCGCGAAGCAGGCGCAGAGGCGTGTGAGCGGGAGCAGAGGAGGTGATGCGAGCACGCTTGGGCCTGCTCCACATGATTTTCCTGTGCCGGAAACGAGTTTACGCTTCATGAAAATCATTTTTTGGCAGCCTGGCCCCAAGCCCTCGCCTCTGCGGTGCCCCGAAGCACCTCGGAACACGTTCTCGGGCCCCGGGGCCCCGTCACGGCTCGGCGCCGGCGCCTTCGCGCCAGCAAGGGGCAAAAGGAAAGCGCTGCCGAGCCTCTTGGACCCTGTCCTGAGGTTCCCAATGCACCAGGAGGCGGCGGACCGCGCAGCAGCGCCTGAGGAGAGGACATCGCGATGTGTTTTCCCTTGCCCCAATGCAAACGATGCGAACTCAGTCCTGCTCGCCGTCGCTGGAGTCAGAATGTTCTACTAGCCACTCAGCGGCCGTGAGAGCCCCTCGGCTCTGGGCGCTAGCGTAGCCGAAAGCAGCCGCGCCTTTCCATCCACCGCTGAAGAACAATGCTGTCGGCCCTCCTTGTTGGAGGGCTTCGTTTGCGAACCCTCTCCTGAACGCGTGCGTGCCCCAAGCAGGCGCGCTACGCAGATGCAGGGCGGTCGCTGCCAGCTTTAGCACAGCGAGAGCGTCGGCGCATTGGATTCCTGAAAAAGAAACAGCAGCGCTTGTTTCTCCTAGCGAGAACAGTGCGCAAGCACCGCACAGGAGCCGACCCTGCTGGTGGCAGATGCAACGCCTCGTCGTGTCGCAGGGTTCATTGTACGACTTCCGGTGAGCAAAACGGATGATGCACGTTTTACGGCCCTCGCCGGTAAAACGAAATGCGACCGCGTGGGTCTCCTCAGCTGTGGCACGGATTTTCTCTCTTCTGAATTCATACTTCGTTATCTTTTCGGCGCCTCTCGACAATCTATGCGTGTCTGCGAGGGCGCCCAGCGGGGCCTGCACCAAGTGCAATACACTGCGCACGTGCGACACGTATCTCTGCAAGGTGTGGCCGCTGCGAAACAAACCAACGAAAGTGTCAAGGATCAGTTTTGTTGGTGGCGACCCAGGCGCCCCGACAGCAGTGGCAGCGTCGCCCCACAGGCGCACTGCGGAAGCGGAGCTTCTGAGGAGGCTGTGCATTCGGGAAGCAAGGTTTTCGCGGGCACCCTTCGTTCTCCATCTGCTTCGCTCCAGGCTGGTTGGTTGGTTGGCATTGGCTGATCAGGAGTGTCTTTGCATCGATTCTCTCCAGGCTGATCATTGCCTGTCCAAGAGCTACCTCTTGTTACTTTTCCATTGCTTTCGAATCGATGGATTCCCTGCGCGCAGGCCCAGTGGATGCTGCCGCGCGTCTCGCGGTCCCTCTGGTTGGGGTTCGGATCGTCCCCACGCAGCCGAGATCCACGTCCTCTGTCGACGCAGCCCCCGCGTTCTCTGTCTTGGTGCGCTCGGGCCAGATCTCGTCGCTCATTTCTCAGCAATCCTGGGACGCTCAGGTGCCGTCCGCTCGCGCAGACGGGCATGGTGCTGTGCATCTTGGGTCGCGGTGTGCGGTCGGCCGCTGCGCCGGCGCACCGTGCGCTCAGTTGCGGGACCAAGCAACCCTGTGACGCTCAGGTGCCGTCCGCTCGCGCAGAGCGGCATGGAGCTATGCATCTTGGGTCGCGGTGTGCGGTCGGTCGCTGCGCCGGCGCACCGTGCGCTCAGTCGCGGGACCAAGCAACCCTGTGACGCTCAGGTGCCGTCCGCTCGCGCAGAGCGGCACGGAGCTGTGCATCTTGGGTCGCGGTGTGCGGTCGGCCGCTGCGCCGGCGCACCGTGCGCTCAGTTGCGGGACCAAGCAACCCTGTGACGCTCAGGTGCCGTCCGCTCGCGCAGAGCGGCACGGAGCTGTGCACCTTGGGTCGCGGTGTGCGGTCGGCCGTCGCGCCGTCGCACCGCGCGCGCAGTTGCGGGACCAAGCAACCCTGTGACGCTCAGGTGCCGTCCGCTCGCGCAGAGCAGCATGGAGCTGTTCATCTTGGGTCGCGGTGCGCGGTCGGCCGCTGCGCCGGCGCACTGTGCGCTCAGTTTTTCGCAACCAAGCAACCCTGTGACGCTCAGGTGCCGTCCGTTCGCGCAGAGTGGCTCGGAGCTGATATTATGATGTGCTTTCTGTGTTTCTCTTGTCTTGCTATTTTATTCTCGCTTTTCCTTGCTCGTTATTTTTCTCTCGCGCGGGCTTGGGTTGGTTTGGGCTGATTCGCCAGAATCATTCAGCTCTGCCCGCCCGCAAGCGCCGCCAGGCGCAATTCCTTCGGCATGGTGAACAGTGCGCGGGCGCTCCCCAGTCTGGGAGTCCGCGCCAGCGCCCAGCGCCACGTGTTTTCCGCCAAGCGTTTTCGTCACGCTTATGTGCCGCGCGCTCTTCTTCAAAGCGGCGCAGAGCTTTCGACACACCGGGCTCCGTGGTGCACAGTCGGCGGCCGCTCCCTGCTTTGGGGGGTGCGCCCACGCCGCGTGCCTTCTGCCGAGCAGCCCTGTGACGCTCACGAGCTGCTCGCTCCTCTTCTGAGCGGCGCGGAGCTCTCGACGCAGGCTTCGTGGCGTACAGTTGGCGGTCGCCTCCTAGGCGGCGTCTGCAGCCAAACCGCGCGCCTCCTGCCAAGCAGCCCTGTGGAGCTCAGGTGCCGCGCGCTCTTCTTCAGAGCAGCGCGCAGCAGGCTCGCGCAGCGCTCCCTGCTTTGGAGGTCTGCAGCCACGCCACACGGGTTTTCGTGAATCATAAATTTATTTTTGCAGCAGGAAAATCATGAGGCGCAGTACCCATTGTCTACACCTCTACGCCTCTTTGCTTGCACGCCTTGCTCACACGCCTCTGCCTGCGGGCGCGTGGCTCGCGCGCTTCTGCCTGCTTCGCGGGGGAAGCGGTTCCTTGGCAGTGAGGCGGAAGAGCTTCTGCGCGAAACGGCGGAAGTATTGATGTGGCGGGGGCGGCAGCTCTGCGGCTTGCCGCCCCGGTGTTCCCTCCAAGTTGGCGCATCCGGGGCGTGCTTGTCGCCCTCAGTCGCATGCGGCCTGGGGGCTGGCACCCCGCGCCTCGCCCGCGGCGCCTGGGGGCTGGGACCCCAGGTGCCCCTGGCTCTTCTGCGTCTCGCGGCGGCGTCTGGGAGCCGGAGTGTTTGCTGAAAGGGGGCGGCAGGGTCTTCTGTTTTTCCCGAAACAGCACCTCGCCATCAGCGCCGTGTCACGTTTGCTCTGGGCTTTCGCTGCTGGTTTCCGCTCTTTCCTGTGATTGCGCTCCGCCGCCAGGCCGGCTTGGCACGCCAGGTTAACGCTGCGGCTCCTCGTCGTCGCATCGGCCTGTTGGCGCCTGGGGGCTGGGACCCCAGGTCGCGCGTCCTTGGGGGCTGGGACCCCAGGCGCCGTTGCACGGCACCTCTTTGCACCGCGGGGGCTGGGGCCCCGGGCGCTGCGCGCGCGCAAACTTGCAGGGCAAACGCTAACGTGCCCAACCGCCTGGGGGCTGGGACCCCAGGTGACTTATGTACACGCCGGGGGCTGGGACCCCGGCTGCGTGCCCACGTGGGCTTTGCTTTTGCGGGCAAACCGGCCCAGGCGTTTGGGCTGCTTGCGCGACCAGTGCGTGCGCGAGCCGTCTGCAACGGCAAACCTGCGCATGCAATCGGGGGCTGGCACCCCGAGTGCCAGTTCAACACACATGGGGGCTGGAAGCCCCTGGCAAACATGCCGCGGCAGGTGGCTGAGGCCGCCGGGGCAAGTGCCCAACGCCTGGGGGCTGGGATCCCTGGCGCCCGGGGTCCTGGGTTGAATGCTGGCGCCCCGGGGCTCAGTTCCACCACCCCGCCGCGATGGGGGCGCATTGTGCGTGTATCGCGCGCAGTGCTCAGGCAGTTTTCTGCAAACATGCGTTCGCGTGCCCTGGCGGGCACCGCGCGCACCCGGAGGCGCGCCCGGGCTTCAGCGGGGCCTCTTGGCCAATCGCGCACCAACACGCCACAGTGGCAAATCTGCGCGATTTCACGCGCAGCCAGATCACACGCAGATGGCGCGCCTCCTCCCCTGCCCCGTGCACGCACTGTGTGAAGGAGGTGGGTTCCGACGGGTGCCTTCGCACCTTCACTTGTGTCCGTCTCTCGTCCGCTGCGGGCGCCTCGGCTGCTTCTCGTCACAGCGCCGGCCTTTGTTCGGGCAGCTCCTGCCGTCGCTTGTTCGCGGGCCAAGATAGCTACACATTGGCGATCTACTTTGCCTTTTCCGTAGTGCGACGGCTCAAACTCAGCGCATTGTGGCTAGCACTGACGCGCCCTGTCTCCTTCCGCTGTCTTCCTGCGCCATGGCGTTTTGCGGCGCCGACATCACTGCGATGCTCGCGACGGCCCCGAACGGCTCTTTCAACGGAGCTGGTGCTGTGCAGATCCGCGAGTGGGTTGATTTCGTGCTGAGCGTGGACCCGAATCCCTCGTCCAAGCACGATTTGTTCTACTACGTGGCTGTGTCCCGCCTGTTGGCCGAGGCTGTTGGGAGCATCTCCCCGTCCGACTTCGAGGACCCTCACATGCGTGACATGATCAAGGGCTCCATGGCCATCAATGACGTGCCTTACGCGTCAGAGCCAGATGAAAAATGGAAGACGTGGAAGGTGGTTCCAGCCCAGATTGCGTTCGCCCTGCGCGTGCAGGCGAAGTGCGCCCAGGCAGCCCTGCCAGCTCCCACCGCCACGTTCCAGCCTGCCACGGAATCCATGACCGGGATGGCCGAGGCCGTGAAGCAATTTGCTGAACTGCAAAGCCAAGCGCTGCAGAAAGGCAAGCCGAAAGGCCTCAGCTTCAAGCTGCAGGACAGGCTGGTCGAAACCGGCATGCAAGATTTCGCCAGGGGCACCCTCCCATCAGAGGAAGTGCTGGCCAAGTTCGAGGCTTCAGGCAAGATTGCCCGCGACAAAGGCCGCCACTGGGTCGGGTCCGCAGAGGGCGAGGACTTACGCGAGCACCACCGCCCGCAGTGGAGCCGCACGCCAGTCGTGGATGCCATCATCGGCGGCGGGTCCTACGAGGACAGGGTGAAGCAGTCTGCTGCCGTAAAGCGGTCTGGTGCATGGGTGGGCAAGATTGACTACATCAGTTTCGCGACGTTCATGGGGCACCTGAACGAGCGGGGTTTCAAGCTGATCCTCACCAAGGCGTGCAAGATGTCAGATTTCTTTGCCTACTCGAACAACATCATCCGCATTGCCGAAGACCTCGGCGGCGTCAGGACAGAGTTCCAGTACGACGTCCTTCAGCGGAAGGCCATGGCGCAGGCCCTCGAGAGAGACGAAAAAGACCTGACATTGTTTTTCACGGAAATCGACAGGAGCATCCTGAAGGGCGCCAGCGCTTCGCCGAGACCGCCAGGGCTGGCGGAGCGCAGAAGGGTTCGCACAAAGGATTTTCGGTGGTCCTGACGTCCGAGGCGCGGGGCCCTCCAGCGCGAGCTCCGGCGGCAAGGGCGCGAAGAACGACAAGGGCGGCGATGACAGGCGCCCGCGGTCGCCCGAGAGGCGCCCCAAGGGCAGCACGAGCAAGGGCCACCCCCGCTCCAGGAGTCCGCGCGCCACCGCGCACGGCAGCAGCTGGGAGAAGCGCTGGTGGAAGTGAGTGGGTTCGGGGCCACCCGACGAAGACGGCAGCTCGGCGGGCGAGGAGGACAGCCCCTCGCCCTCGCCAGGCAGCCCTGGTTGCGCAGCGGTTCCTTTTCAAACTGGTCTCGAGGAGATTGCTGCCACTGTGCGTGATTTTCTAGCTCGCGATGATCTTCATCGCCTGGGTCCATGGGACCACTTGCAGTGGGCCAGCGCTTTGCCCGTTTGCGCTGAAGCCCCCCGCCTGCCGCAGTTTTTAGAGGCAGGGTGCGAGCGCATCGCTAAGATGTCTAGGTCTGAGTTGCAGCACGCTCGCGCGGAAGCATTGGAGTTTTGGGCTGAGAGAAAGCGAGTGACGGAGCCAGCCTGGCAGCGTGCCTACGCGCAGCTTCCAGCTCACTGCCAAGCAGTTTTGGGGCCCCGGAAAAATCTTCTCCTCCTAGGCAAGATGCTTCACTCCATCGAGGGGACCCCCCCTAACCAACGAAAACAAACAAAAAAAAAAAAAAAAAAAAAAAAAAAACGAAAACCACCAAAACCAACGAAAACCCAAACGAAAGCAATGTTGTGCAGTGTTGTGCGGTGTTGTGCGGTGCTGTGCGGTGTTGTGCGGTGTTGCGCGGTGCTTTGGAGTGCTGTGCGGTGCTGTGCGGTGCGGTGCGGTGCTGTGCGGTGCTGTGCGGTGCTGTGCGGTGTTGTGCGGTGCTGTGCGGTGTTGTGCGGTGTTGTGCGGTGTTTTGGAGTGCGGTGTTTTGGAGTGCGGTGCTGTGCCGTGCCTGTGCCGTGCCTGTGTGGTGCTGTGCGGTGCCGTTGTTTTTGCTCTTCTTTGTGCTATGCCATTCGATGGCGCACGCGTGCAGCAAAGTGTTGTTTTTCCGTAGCCTTCCTGGATCAGCTCATGTTTTTTTGTTTTGCGCTCGTGCTGATTGTTACTGTATTGCGCACGTGTGGCAAGATGCTGTCTTGGCTAAACGCTACCAGACAGCCCGACAGAAGTGAGCGAGACGAAGGATTTCTACAACAATGGCTCATTTCGCACAACTGCTCGAGGGATACATTCAATCGGATTCGCTTGGAAGTTGCCGAGGAGGCCCGCGTCCGAGGCAGTGCGCCAAAGGATGCCTGTGGGCGGGCGGTTTCACGTGACCACGCCACTAAACACAAATTCCGAACCCAATACGGCTACAACAAGAGGCAGAGGGACGACGCTTTACAAGCAAATCCACCACCACATGCACCTGCACCTGCTCCGCCAGCATCCCCTGAAGAGGACGAAGAGGAAGAGAAGCCACAACCACGGAAAACCAAAAAAAGGAGGGTCTTGAGAAGCCCATCGCCGCAACAAGATCCGCCCGAACAGGCTCCAGCCCCCGATCTTGCTGCTTCTCCCCCGAGCCCCCAAGCCGAAACAGAAGCACGGGCACCGCAGGTCAGACCAGAAAAAAGATTTGAGGTCATTCCAGATAGCCGAATCACAGCTACAGAAGGATTACAAAGGAACGCTTGGAAAAGGTGGGCCAAAAACAATGACACGAGTTTCAAACGCATTGATGGACCATGCAATGACAAGTTCTATGCAGTTTGTGGGAAATGTCCAGCGGAAGCAAAATGCAAAGTGAAGTGCCATCTTATACAAATTGGTGATGATACTTACCACGTTTTAAAGAATGCTGTAGAGCATGCTGGGGGACACCGACCAGCGCGCACTCCACAGAATCCGAGAGACGACGTACCATCCATCACGAAAGAGCAGCTGCATGAGATTGATAAGATTATGGCACAACACGGACCGCGAATCACGCCTGAGGCGGTTCACGATCGCATGTCTAGTGCTGCGCCAGGAGACGCCGTTCAAAGAGCTGTGCACAAACGCCGGAACCGAGATGGAAGCAAAAAATCGTTCAAAGTGGAAGGATTGCAGGCTTGGTGCGCAGAGCGTTTTTTCTTAATCGATTCGGAACCCACGCCACCAGCAAACAGATTGAGTTTGATTGTATTCAAAACTGCCGATGGGAATTGCCCAAGCATTTCACCACAGTACGTAAACATACCATTCACAATGTGGCATTTTGTCAACTACGCTGTCAAAGAAATCAGTACTGCCACTGGGTATATTGCGATGTCAGACTTTGCGTCGAAGATTGTGTGGCAGGGATACAAATTGGGCGCGCTGGGTGTTCTAATTTATCGTTATACGCCAGACGCCCGCCGTTACCGCAAGCACTTCGTGCTTCTGATCTTCATTTTATCAATGGAAGAGGAGGCTACAGACTACAGCACCATGCTCGACGTAGCAAGTAAAGCTCTTATTGTGGAATTTCGGCAGCAGGGCAAAGAAATCCACACTCCGCTATTCGCTCAATTCCATTCGGATTTCGCCAAGAGCAGTCGCAAGGCTATCAAAGATATGCTACCGAATACGCAGCACGTCAACGATCTGGAGCACTTGGAGCGGGCGCTGCTGGACCACCAAAAGAGAGGAGAACCAAATTCACGTTTCCCTAGAGCGATTGAAAGCGTAATCGCGGCTTGTTTTCTGACCGCGTATATCTTTAATAATGCAGCTTTCCATTTATACTGGACTCAAACACTGAAATATTGGGAAGAGGAATTGAATGCAAAAGGATTCGCTAAGTACTTTCGCGACGAATATTTGCGTCCATTGGAACTTCCTGGCGGCACAGTTCTCCTCAGAGCGTCTTGGTGGTGTGGCCCGCTTTCTTCTGTCGAGCCAGGTTATCCAAGCAGCCAAAACATGGTCGAATCTTTCATGGCCATGGTGCGGCGGCAGTTTGCGCAACAAGGCCACCATATAGATCCTGTTCCATTTTTTGATAAATTTGAACAAAAATGCCGTCGATGGTGTACGACTCCAGGGGAAACCTTTTCCATAGCAGGACCGGGCCAGCGCTTGCACCACACACCTATTCCTTTGGATGACGCTTTACTCGACGGCGCTGGACGCACAATCAAGTTTGCAAAGAAAGTAATTCACATGCCTTCAGTGCGGCAAGTAGCAGTGGCATTTACTCAAAGCGGGGGGCGGAATATTTTGGAATGGGAAGCGCCGAAAACAAAAGCACGCAAGGGAAGCAGATATTTCTACATGAATAAGGAAAACCAGATCCCTATGGACAAAGAAATGCGTGGTCACGTATGGAATCTGCAGCAGGCGGCAAACTTTGCTGATTTGGAAGCTCTTTGGAGAAAATACGGCATTTTAAAGCACCAGAACAGCAGAGACGAATTGATTTGGGAGAAGTTAAGCGAGCATTACCGTGATATCGTTCGTGTTAAGGCCACCGATGGTGAATTTACTTGCACGTGCGAGCTTTATTGTGCGGAGAGCGTGTGCAGTCATATATACGGCGTGCGCGAATGTATATTTCAGGAAATTGTTCGGGACAGAGATCTGGCTATAGCATCTGGCGGGCGTAAAGGAGCACCTCCAACTAGAACTGCCGCAGTGGGCGCCCGTTTAACGCAGGAAGCAGCAAATGAGGCAGCAGAGGCAAAAGCACGTGCAAAGAAAAAGACAACTTCCAAATATGAACTGAGAATCCCCAGGGCAGCCCCAGAGGACCCCAGTACATTTCAAGGGGAAAGTTTTGGAGCATTGAGGGATTCACTCAAAGATACTCTTGGTCCTTTGCTGGTCGGTGGGATCGAAGGAGAAATCGCTCTCGTCTTCCATTGGAATGCCTTACCTCCGCAACCCTGGCAGTATGTGGAATGGCGGGGGTGGGTCAGACTTTTGAGCGCAGCTGCGAACGAACAGGACCCAGATAAGCACCCCGAGATTCTCGAAGGCTACATCATCAATTTCTTCAGAATCCTAACAGACAACCTGGACTTGAAATTGAAGACAGATCGTGAGGTTGAGTCCGAATTGAAAAAACGATTCCAGGTTGGCGACGGATCTCCCCACGGAGCAAATAATTGCTTGATCGATAGTCTGCTTCAGACAATGGTGGTAGCAAAGATTATCAAATTAGACACAAAACATACAAATAATTTGCGTAGGGACGCTTGCGCTGGAGCACGTGCAGCATTACAATCAGAAATCAATGACCCTCATGGTTTCCTGGAGCATTTTAAACATGGTCCGGAATTGTTTGAATATCTCTTGCAGCATTTCGAACAGCATGTTGCCTCAGATGCAAAACATCGCGGTGTCCTGCTTGTGGTGCATTCGCGCTTCGATACAGAGCAAATCCCTGGAGAACCACGTCGCTTGAGAGATGGCGATAATGATATAGTGTTACATGTTTTCAATAGGTCAGGAGAGGGAGTGAGTGGTTATCATTACGATCCCTTATTTCCCCTTGCAATTCCTGCACCAGCTACTCCCAGAACTGCCAGCGATGCACGACATACCAAATGGCCTCCGCAATCGCCTGCAAAACCTATTATAAAGGCTGCCGATGCTCTAATGCAGCAGCGCGCTTCTGGAGTACTCGCGAATTTGAAAAGTCAAGTCAGGGAGAGTGGCAGTCCAATTTGTACTTTGAGGTATGCGTTGGACCGTTTCTTTTTCTCCGGAACGATGTCTGCGGCACGTGCAGAGTTTCGGTCGTGCATCGAGCATTTGGCTCGCAGCGATCATCTGACGATTAGGGCAAAAAAAACAAATCTAGCTGACTGGATTGCGTCGATTCCTCGATTTCTTGAACTGCCTTGCCTGAGGAAGTGCTGCAAAATAGTATCCTCGCTTGTCTTATCCAGGAGCGGATCAGAGAGGAGGCGGGAGTAGTTGGGATGGATCCAGTGAGGAGCAGGGGGAAGACACCAGCAGATTGCGACATGTTCAACTGAGATTGCGGTCCAGGGCGTTTTTGTGCTCAGATTGCCGTTCTGGGCGTTTCCGTGCTCGTTTGCTGTTCTGAGCGATTTCGTGTTTTGTTTGCAATTTGGGGCGTTATCTGCTCAGAGTGCCGTTCTGGGCGTTTCCGTGCTCATATTGCCGTTCTGGGGTTTTCGTGCTTAGATTGCCATCCTGGGCGCTTTCGTGCTCAG